TCCATTGGGGGGGGTCTTCCTCTTTTTCACTGACCTTCTACTTTACTAAGGAGGTGTCCTTTTCAGGGACCGGTCCATCCTGAGAACATGTCCAAAGTATGAGAGATGAAGTGTCACCGTCCTGGCTTCTAAGAAGCATTCTGACTGTACTTCTTTGGAAACAGATTTGTTTGTTCTTCTGGCAGTCATGGCATTTTCAATATTCTTCTCCAACACCATCATTCAAATGCACCAATTCTTCTCTAGTTCTCTTCATCTGTTGTCCACCTTTCACAGGCATCTGAGGTGACTGAAAATACCATAGCTTGGGCCAAACACACCTTAGTCCTTTGCTTTCGAGCACTTTAAAGAGGTATTTTGTGACAAATTTGCCAATGCAATATGTCATTTGCGTTCTTGACTACTCTACAACGAGCATTGATTGTGGATCCAAGTAAATGAAGTCCTTAAAAATGTCAATCTTTCCTCTGGTTATCATGATGTTATTTATTGGTCAAGTTGTGAGGATTTTTTTTTTTTTACATTGCATTGTAATTCAATAGCGATAGAACTGCACAGTCAAGGAACATTTTAAAATTTCTACCCATGGAAACACTCCTTCTTTCTCATTTATGTAGAAACATGAGTTAAAAGGCACCTATTTTTCATTTGTTCCAGTAGTATTTTAATTGTTTACAAACTGATGACCTGATCAGTTGCCCAACTGGCTGGTGACAGAGGAAAGCTAGGTGCTCACTAAATCTCAGTTTTTATTTCTCTCTCTGGGCACAAAAGAAGACTACATTTCCCAGCCTCCTTGGCAGTTAGGTTAAGGCCATGGCACTGGTTCAGGCCAATGGCATGTGGGCTGAAGCGCTGTGCACCAACCTCGGGCTGGGCCAGTAAAAATATTCTACACAACCTTCTTGGCCACATTTCTCACCTTGAAGATCTTGGAAGATGCAGAATGAGATGGCAACACCACAAAAGTTCCCTGGAGAGTCACTTGAACTATCTCAAATTGAGTATAAATGAAAACCTTAGCAATGTTAAGTTACTGACATGTTAGAGTTTGTTACTGGAATGTAAGCTGTCTTATTCTGACTATTCATGTCCTGACTATCAATCAAGCTAGGTCCTTCTACCATGCGCTGCACCTTATTGGCATATACATTTTTTTTTCCCCAGGTGAAAAAATTAGATTAATTTTCAACAAGACTTTTTCCATATACTTCCAGCATTGAACTCAATTGCAGGCATGTGATAAACATTTAGTTTACAAGTTAGAGAACTAGGAAGCATAGGAGGCAATGAATAAATATTTTAATGAAGGAATGAAAACAAAAGTAAGAACTGTTCACACTCAGCTGTCTGGAAAGGATTTCTTTTTTAATTATTAAATTTTCTAAAGAAAGTATCAAAATTACACATATGCATTAAAAATTTTTTTTGAAATTTTTTTTTAGAAAAGTAGAAAAACATTTCTTCTTCCATAGTGCAAACCCTCTAATTCAACCATCACAGTTTTGTGTGTGTTTTCCCCAGTTTTTACTACTTATTTTATTACAATGTTATAACCACTCTCTAGATATTCTGGCCTACTGTTTTCATTTAATATTTGTAATAAATATTTTTCATGTTACTACATACGCTTCATTGTTGCGGACCGTGTAAGACTGGTCAGAGGTTCGAGGCCCTATAGGCCCGAGTGTAACAAATGAGGCCACTGGCAGTTAATGGCAAATTGCTTTCATCTTAATATTCAGTTATATATATTAAATTAATACACGGAGCCTTTGAAAATCCACAGATAAATGTGATATTTTCCTAAAGCCAAGACTAAAGGTTGCAAGGTTAAACCTTTCTCCAAAGGATTAACTAAAAATATCTTAGCTACTTCTCGGTTCTTTGTTCTATAGACAAAAAACCCATCCTCCCTAATCCTTTTCCAGGTGCAGCCCATTCATCCTCATCTTTCACCTTCCCCCACCTGAGCTCAGGGGCTATAGATATGTTAATTTGGCCTGAGAATCCAAGTTGCTAGCCTGGGATTTGAACCAGTGAAGTATGATGTATGTCTGGAAAAGTACTGATGTTAGCTATATCCTGTTTTGGTCCCTCCCAGCTTGATGTGAAGCTCCGCCCCTAAATAAAACAGAGGCCCGGGCCTCTCCAGGTGTGCATTACTGGTTGGAAGGCTTGGAGTAAAGATTGCTGTGCATTACTGGTTGGAAGGCATGGAGTAAAGATTGCGGTGCATTACTGGTTGGAAGGCATGCAGTAAAGATTGCAGGGCAGTGAGTTGCTGCCTGCAGAGGCCACGATGCCTGTACTCCCAAGCCTGCCCACCAGTGATGCATCCACCCTGGCTTTGGGGTGCCTCATTGTCTCCCTCCTTCTGTTTGTCTGTGTATTCTTTCGCTATCCCTATCGCCGCTGGATCTCCCCTCCTCGTGAACCAAACACTCGTGAACAACACAACTATGTCGAGGTCAGACCTCAGCACTTCATAAGAATATTTTTTAATGTTTATGGGGGAATGAATAATTTAACTTTTTTTCTCCTTTGAACATTTATGTTATTTCCAGTTTTTTAAGTTTAAAAAATGATATTGTGATAAATCTGTTTGTGTAGTTATGACTTTCCCTATTTAGAAGTATTTCCTTAAGGTAGACTGGGAAAAGAAAACAGCCTTTGTGGTAATCCAGAAGTCTCAGGCTGAAGTCAGCTCAGCGCAGGTTAGCTGTGTGAGTTGGAGAGGATGCCTTCCAGTTCCAGTATTCAACACTGAATTAGGTCTCCAAGTTCAGCTTCTTCGTTTATGTGATTATCTCAGACATAGATCCACCACATTACATACAGACTGAAATATACACAGGCCAAATACAAAAGCAGTGCTTTTGGAAACAATCTTTCAATGTTCAGTATCTTATATAAACCACACATGCATCCTTGAGAATTATAAGACATGGCTGGCAAATAGATGGACAAGGAAGGGTCTCTTGTGATTTTTTTCTGTTAAATTTTGCTTATTTTGTAGATATTGTTGAGAAAATACACAGTGAAACATACACCAATCCAGCCATTTCTACATGTACAATTTAGTGACATTAGCTTCTTCAAGTTGTACGACCATTTTCAACCTCCTTTTCTGAGTTGTTCCTCCCTCATTAATGTAAATTCAATGCCTACTAAGGTTCCTATCTAATCTTTCAAGTTCCTGTTGCCAATTTGATCCTATATGGAGCGTTCTTAAAAGAGTATAATGCTCAAGAAGGACCTTTTCTACTACTTAAGCTGAATTCTGGTTTGGTTTGAAGACATCAGGGGATATTTTTGGCTTAAGGTTTAAAAACTGTCTCAGGGCAATAGTTTCAGGGACTTATCCAGCCTCCATGACTTCAGAAAGTCTGGAGTCCATGAGAATTTGAAATCCTATTCTGTATTACCCCCTTTTGATCAGGATTCGCCTATGGAATCTTTGGTCAAATGTTCAGTAATAGTAGCTGGACACTGTGCAGTTCTTTTGGTTTCATGGCAAAGGAGGCAATTATTCATGGAAGCAATTAGTCACACAGTCCATTGTTGTTGTTGTTAAATGTTGTTGAGTTTGTTCCGACTCATAGCAACCCTGTATAGTGTTTCTGAGGAATAGCTAGTAGGTTTGAACTGCTGAACTTTTGGTTAGCAATCCAATGATTATCTTACAGCTCCGTACCAGGACTCCCATAGCATCCTCTTACTCCTGCCTTTCCTTTCCTTGTTGCTCCCGGTAACTAGAGACCAAATGTGTGCCTTGAGTGGCCCTCTTCCAAGTTTTTAAGACCTCAGGTGCTATGCAACAAACTAAGAAGCAGACAGAGACACTAAACATGTTATTAGGCCAGTAAGCTGGGATGTCTCATAAAACTGTGGCCCTAAGCTTCCAAACCAATGTGTCTGATTGTACATAAGCAGTCACAGCAACTATTCGCTTAAACAAATTATTGTCATTGTTGTAAATATATCACTGAATTTTTGCCAATTCAACTTTTTCCAGGTGGACAATCCTGACAGCAATGGCAACTATCAGTTGTGCAACTCTACCCTTAATCCATGATGTTTGGGTCTCCCTTGATTTTAATGGGACAGCTTAGCAAACTGCAGCAGCAATAAAAGATGAGGAGGACACCTCTATATCTTGGGCATCTTTTTTGAACAGGAAGAAAGAACTCAACGACTCTCTCCCATCCCTTCAGTCAATCAGTAACAAAACAGAAACAATTGTGTTCATGTGTTGGAAGTTAAGATGAACTGCTTTGTAAAGACTTAATAAAATTTCCAGTAAAGGCTATGGTTATAGTGGAACTGAAATATATCTGATCTTAATGTGACAGCCCTGATGTTTAATACTTATTTGCTCGCTAATTGTACGACCTTTGTAATTGACTTACGTCCATTGACTCATTTATCCTTCATTTGTAAAATAGGGATAATTGTAACCATGGCTGCTTCACAACATTGAGGTGAGTACTCAATGTGATGATGGAAGTAGATGTTAGACACTGTAACGCTCTGGGTGAAGTATGGTATTGCTATTTTGCCCTTAGTGCCTTTATCTTTTCTAAAACTAGGGCAGCCCTCCTGGTGAGATCAATCTATAATGTGCTTGAAGATGCTATGGCTTCCTCGAAGAATGAACAAAATTTGTTGTGGAGGAAGTACAGCTGGAATGCTCCTTGGAAGCAAGGATGGCAAGACTTTGTCTTTCATACTTTGGCCAAGGTATCAGGAGGGACCAGAGAAGTTCCATCCTGCTTGGTAAAGTGGATAGTTAGTGAAGAAGAGGAAGACCCTCAATGAGAAAGATTGATACAGTGGCTGCATCAATGGGCTTAAACCTAAGAATGATTCTGAAGATGGCATTGGATCAGGCAGTGTTTTATTCTGTTGTCTACAGTGTTGCTATGAGTCAGAATCTATTTGACAGCACCCAACAACAACAATGCTCCTTCCTCCTTCCTACAGACACCTTATTGGGCTCAGCAGGGGAAGATGTTGGTCTGCAGCTTCCTCTGCAAGGCAGCCTTCACCTCCTTGTTTCGGAGGCTATAGATGAAGGGGTTGAGCATGGGAATTATGATGGTGTAGAAGACAGATACTACTTGGCCACTGGCATCATTAGCGGATCCATGGGGCTGGACATAGGTGAAAACGACGGTGCCATAGAAAATGGCAATAGCCAGGAAATGGGAGGCACATGTGGAGAGGGCTTTCTCGCGGCCAGCCGCTGAGCGCATCCTCCCAATGGCTACCAAGACCAAGCTGTAGGAGGTGAGGATGATTGCAGCAGGCAGCAGTGTCACCAGAGCTGAGAAGATATAGAGGATGAGTCCTGCTGTGGCTGTGTTGGCACAAGCTAAGCGCAGAAGGGGTGGGATGTCACAGAAGTAGTGTGTTACCTGATTGGGCCCGCAGAAAGGCAGAGCAAAGACATTCCCAGTTTGGATAGCAGAGTTGGCTCCACCAAATACATAGGAAGCAGCCACCAGCTGGAGACAAGTCCCTTTGGTCATAACCGTACCGTAATGGAGGGGTTGGCAGATGGCCATGAAGCGGTCATAGGCCATGGAGGCCAAGAGGAAGCTCTCAGTGGTCACATGTATCACAAAGAAGGTCAACTGGATCACACAACCCTCAAAAGAGATGGACTTGTCAGAGGTCAAAAAGTTGACCAAGAGCTTGGGTGTGACCACAGAGGAGTAACAAATATCAAGAAAAGAGAGGACACTGAGGAAGAAGTACATGGGCCTGTGCAGATGGGAGTCTGTGAAGATGAGGGCCATCATTCCCAGGTTGCCCGCCAGTGTCATGGCATAGATGAGCAGAAAGACTCCAAAGAGAAGTTCCTGTAGATCTGGATAATTGGAGAAGCCCAGCAAGATGAACTGGGTAACTGGGCTATAGTTGCCGCTGGCAAGGGCTAACTCTCCAGGCGTCATCTGCAGTTGTGACAATTGACAATCACTCAGACAATGTTACTTGAGCATGTCAACCACTGCGCAAGGTCCAGTGAAGGGGAACACCAAACAAGCGTAAGGTTCATTCTACAGGAAGTAATGGGAAACCTCAGACCATAGTGGGAAGGGCTCAGAAGACAGACCTGAATCTTAATTCTGACTTTGGTGCTAACAAATTGTGCATCCTTATAAGCTACGTCTATGAGCCTTACTTTCCTAATCTATGAAATAAAGAAAACATATCTGCTTCTCAGAGTGGCTGTGTGGTCTAAATAAAAAAAAAAGAAAAAGAAAAAAGAATGTAAAATATCTAAGTGTCTGAGACATAGTAGGTGAGGCCTCATCCCAATCTCTTATGTCTTTATACAATATATTTACAACTATATTTGGTAATTATTTCGTTCTGTCTTTTTAAAATCAAGAAATCATTGACATACCATAAAACTCACCATTTTAAAGTATACAGTTCAGCGTTTTTTAGTATATTCACAAGGCTGTGCAACTATTCACACTTATACCAGAAAGACCCCCCCCCCCAAAAAAAAAAAAAAACCTTCTCCCCATTAGCCAAAGTCCCGGTGCGGCACTACAGGATAATGCACTGGACCAAGAGGATGCTTTGAACTACAAGGTCAGTGGTTCAAACTCACCAGTCACTCCTTGGAAACCCTACACAGGGTCACTATAAGTCAGAACTGACTTGGAGACATTTTACAACAAGAACCCATTAGCAGTCGTCCTCCCACCTCCAGCCCCTGGAGCCCATTAGTCTATATACTGTCTATGGATTGACATTTTCTGAACAAGTCAGATCAATGGAATCATGCAACATGTGGCCTTTGTGTCTGACTTCTTTCACTTAACATCATGGTTTTAAGGTTTACCCATGTCTTAGCAGGTTTCAGTTAGTGCTCTCATTCTGTTTTGTATTTAAACACTTTTCAGGGCATCCCTCTTTTAGATCTTAACCATTGTGTCCTCTCAGAATCTATTGAGTTGAGTCTCACCAGGAATATCATCAGCTTGGAAATGTGTTTTCATGCTTTCTCAACTGACCTCAAGATTTTTATCCACGTGAGAACTGGAAATGGTCCAAAGTCTTTCCCTTCCATCTTATTCTTTGCTGCCCTCGCCACAGGAACTCTGGTGGTGTAACAGTTAAACACTTGACTGCTGACTAGAAGGTTAACGGTTCTAACCCACCTAGCAGCTTCCTGGAAGAAAGACCTGGTAATCTAGATTGCTATCTAGAAAACCCTTGAGGGAACTTCTACTCTGTTGTTTGGGGTCCCCATGAGTTACACTTGACTCAATGACATCCAACAACAGCCTTCTCCACTTCGAAGGTCTTGGTTACATCCTCAAAATCAATCATAGGAAAACATCACTAACCTCTTCACCCAAGTGTGGTATCACGCTGCAGAAGAACATAGAAGAACAGGCTCACCTTGGTTCCCACCTTTGTAACAGATTCAGGATATGGCAGAATGAGCACTGGACAGAGAGGATGGAGAGAGGTTTCCTAGTTCTGTCTCTGTTATCTGTTAGCTCTGTTATCATGGGCAAATCTCCTCCCTCTGAGCCTTAGAATTCTCATGAATTCAAGGTTTGGTCTGGAAAATCTCCAAGGTCTTAGCTGGTCTGAACCGTGTGCCTGTGAGTGTGTTATCCTTGAGCTTCTGGCCTGGGTATGGGTCCTGGTGCCAGTGTGGAAAGAATACTTGTACATGTGAATTTGTCTAGAGAAAGGAACTCAATACCTGATAGCAGCAGGTGATTTTAGGAGGGTCTGCCAAGGAGTACTGGTGTGGTAACATAGGATAAGGTCACTTTGAACCGTATAGTCAGCGGTTCAGACTTACCAGTCGATCCTCAGAATCCCTATAAAGGGTCACTATGAGTCAAATTTGACTTGATGGCACTTAACAACAACAACACTCCAGCTTACAATGACTCCTGGTGTGGTTCTGTAGGATCAGCATTGAACTTCGAACTACAAAGTTGGCTGTTCAAACCCATGAGTTGCTCCTATACAGGGTTGCTATCAGTTGGAACTGACTGTATGACACTTAGCCACAACAACCAAGCTCACAAGGATTATTTTGCATACCATAGCCACTCACAGCAGTAGTCACTGACAGATAGTTTGTACATATTTAGTAAGTTTTAAGTATGGACCCAAGGAGCTCTGGTAGCGTAGTGGTTACGAATCGGGCTGCGAACCTCAAGGTCAGCAGTTCGAAACTACCAGCTGTTCCGCGGGAGAAAGATGAGGCTTTCTGCTCCCATAAAGATTTACAGCCTCGGAAACCCTGTACAGGGTCGCTATGAGTTGGAACCGACTCCACGGCAGATAACAACAACAACAACAAGAAACCTCGTTAACATAAATGAGTGGACAGGAATGTAGAGAGCTTTGTTAGGGTGACGTCATAAATGAGTGGACAGGAATGTAGAGAGCTTTGTTAGGGTGACGTCATTCAATTCATTGAACTCTTTCTAAATTCATGCCCAGACTCATCTGTTAACTTGAAAAGGTACTCCTTCAATTTTGTAGAATGATTTCCAAAAAACGATTATGGGTAGTCATTAAAGTAATATCCTTTTTTAACACTTAGTTATCAAATTATTTCTTTGTGTTGTTGTTTTTAAGTGCCACTGAATCGATTACAACCCATAGTGATCCTGTATAAGGTTTCCAAGGAGCAGCTGGTGAGCTTGAACTGCCAACCTTGAGGTTCAAACTGACCTTGCAGTCCAGTGCATTACCCGCAGCACCACACCAGAACTTCTTGCTTAGTGGTGATGGTTCTGTGCCGTGGAGTTGGTTCTGACTCATAGCAACCCTGTATATCTTTATATACAGGCTGTAAATCTTTACAGTAGTTTAGAACTGCTGACTGTGAGATTAGCAGCCTGACTCGTAACCACTATGCTACCAGAGCTCCTTCCTGAGTTCTTACCAAATCTAAATATCCTTGAGTCTCTAGTTCTAAATGAGTTCCAAAATGAGTATTCATACCTTCATTTGTCTCTGATGACATAGCATCCCAACTCCATCTACACATATACAAAGAGTCACTGCCAGCATCATTTGCAGGTTGTTGTTGTTAAGTGCTGTGGAGTCGGTTCACATTTGCAGGTGGAGAGACTGAATTTACTCTCCAGCAAATGAGTTCTGCCTTTGTTCCCTATTAACTCTGTTCTTGCCTTCCTACCGCTTCTTCCCATGGTTGAACATTATGTTCCCTCCTAATTCTACAAGGAGCTCTGGAAGTGTAATGGATCACGAGCTGAGCTGCTATCTGCAAGGTCAGAAGTTTGAATCTACCACTCACTCCTCAGGAGAAAGATGAGGCTTTCTGCTCCTGCAAAGATTTACAGCCTCGGAAACCCTGCACAGGGTCGCTATGATTCAGAACCGACCCCATGGAACACCACCACCACCATCACCTAATTCTATACCACCCTTTTTCAACTCCCAGCTGGCCATTTGATTCCTTGAAAAGCTCACATATTAGTAACTCTTTTTTGTGGTGATTCTGACCAACAGTCTAACAGATGTATTCTGAGGTTCTTACTAGGGCTCCCCCACAAATCCTCTACAGCCATTCTTTAGCCTTTCCAGTCAGTCTTCCCTGACCCACTCCATGATCCTTCTGTGTCTTATTCTTTTCTGCCAGTTGACTTATATGATGGGGCTTCATAAAGTTATGGAAAATGGAATTTTCCCGTGGACTTTTTGAAACCTTCTCGTACTTCACATAGCTGTATTTGGAATTGTTTAACATGGTTTTGCTAATGTTTCTAAGGTCTTCTCTCCCCACATTGGACTTTTGCTTCCCTATCCCATGAGGACTCCTGTGAGCAGAGACTGTTTTCTGAGACTGCTGCTTTCAGAAGCCATCAGCAAGTATGAATATTTGAACAATTATGTCATTCAAAAATATTTGAGCGATGACAGTTGTTCCAAAGTACTTGAGCAATTACGGTGGTATGAAAGAATTTGAGCAATTGCAGTTGTTTGAAAGCATTTAAACAATGACAATTCCTCAAAATGGTGTAAGGCTTGGTTGGCTTCAGTCCTATCGCATCTGAAGATTTTATAAGAGAGACACGCTTAACCCTCTGAAACATGAGGGAAACTGGGTGGTGCTGACTTGCAGTAGGAACTGGGCCTTGAAGTATGAGGAAGGTTTGTGTAGGTGGAGAAGGAGAATTGCAGTGACCTGGAAATGGGACTGAATCAGCTCAGCAAACATTTACAAGGTGCACTGGAGAGAGTCAGGAAAGCTCCCGGAACCATAGTTCCTCAGTTCCTGTGAGGACTGAAGGACAATGTGTTTGATGGATTTACCACATTTCCCAGCACAGAGTTGAACTTGATAAACATTAACTTCCACCCCACCACAAGTTAGATTATGAATACACAATGAATAGGGAGTGGAAGAGAAGGCCCTGAATGCAATGGAATGTCAGGAATACTTACAGACTGATAGGTGAAAGGAGGGGGTGTGTGGTGGCAATTTCGGGGACAGAGAAGAAGGGCTGGAACGTGATAGAATTTCTAAGATGCAAATACCAACCTTAGCAACAGGGCTCCACAGCGTGATAGCCCTTCAGTGGGGACTCAAAGTCCTCTCAGCCCAGCCATGTTGGGGAGTTCTGGAACGTATTGCCACTCTAGCCTGTGTCTTTCAGGTCCTCCTCCCTAGAGCTCTCTTTGGGGTGATGACACATCCAGACCCGCTGGCAAGACACACAGCTCAGGCAAACAGAATGTGGCACTCAGAAGTGAAGTTATAGACACATCCCAGCCCTGCCCACAGTTTATAAGGCTAGCCCAACCCCTCAGGGTCCCTGGTGGCTTCAGAAGCTTAACACCCTGGGGAAGTCCTTGAGACACACCCACCCCCAAATCCTCTCCTGGGGTCCTGGAAAGTTCAGGCCTCAGGGAAGAAGAGACTATCCCTTCCAGAGTT